GAGGGCGGCTTAAATTGTCACGGAACAGCAGAAACTGTAGTTACTTTTGTCTGAAACGAATGTAAAGTGAGACTAATTCAAACTCACGAGGGAGGGAGCAGACGAGCTTGTTTGGTGCAAGCATGCCTGTCTGAAGGATATATTTTTGAAATGAATCAAAGTACAGATCGCCTTATGCAAACCAGTTTAAACATAGCTGACCTTAGAAGTGGCAGTATCCCCCTCTTATTGCAACCAAATCAGCTTTAAGAAATCTAGCAGAAAAGGTTATATTGTTTCATATTATAGATTGTTACCTGAATTCAGCTTCCCCTGCAAATCAAAGAATGCCAGACTGACGTTTTTGTAAGTCAGTTAAACACTCTCCAAACAAGCAATCTTTTCTCAGAAGCCTAAAGATGTGAAAGTCGGATTACGGGTGACATTTCACTAGACTATTGAGAGCAAAGCTCTAACTAAACACAACAGTCATGAAAACAGATTTTCCTGCCTCTGTATTTTCCTAACGAAACAAAACCAAAATCCATCCTTTCCGTTTCGTTCAGCTACGAGAGTTTCTAAATATTTCTGAGGCAACCAACATGACTCCATTTGGAGTCTTTTGGAGCACACTCCACAGATATCGGATACTGACTGAAAAAGCATTCTGCTTTTTGGATGCCTCACATCAGACTGGAGGTAAATACATGCTGTGTACTGGAATGACAACGCATCTGATGGTACTACCGTCACAGCTACCTCTCTCTCAGGTGGATATTGCTGTCCACAGAAAAGTGAAATGTGAGAAATACGTTAAGAAAAAAAAAATTTCTTTCTTGTTTTTGTTACCTTATTATTGCTAAGAGCAATAATATTCACCTTCTGTAGCTGGGCAAATAAACGTGGCTTTAGTTAGACCAGCCACTGCTAACTTGTCTCCCCAGCTCCCTCTGGAGGCACTCGCTCCCGTTCTCTAATTTCCCACGTGAAAAACGTTAACTCAGAACAAGGATTTTGTTTAATCATGTGCTGTCGTGGGCAAAGGCTCGAGTCTAAATGCAAACCAGCACGTGGTTTCATTAGCCAGCTGCAGATCCTTCTCTTTGGTGTCTAATCAGAAAGAAGCCTCCCTCCCGTTCTACAGCTGCAACATATATAAGGGATTGGGCTCAGGCACTCTTTTTTTCTGGAATATTTTAGGGGAGGTGATTTTTTTGGCCGCTAACCCTAAAGAACATGGAGAGCACCTGGAGAATTTGTGTTTGTTTCTATTGCTGTCTTCATTGGCTTTCCTCTAGCATCCAGTGTTCCCCCCACTCCAGGGGCCGTGTGGTGCCTGACAAGACCTCTGGGTTGCTGGTGGCTCCTGAGGACGCTGCCAGTGACCTCAACCCGTTGAGGCATGAGACGTGGCTATGCCCTCCTGCCTCCCCTTCTCAAGGTGCTGTCTGACCGGGGGCGCCAGAGCTGGGAAAGTGAGGCCCCCAGGCTGCAGCCAGACTCCAGAGCCCTTCGGTACATGAAGAGGCTGTACAAGATGTCTGCTACCAAGGAGGGGATCCCAAAAGCCAACAAGAGCCACCTCTACAACACCGTTCGACTTTTCACCCCGTGTTCTGAATGCAAGCACCACCACAGAGACCTAAGGAAAGGTAGGTGTGGGGGGACCTTGGCTGCAAAGCTTAAATGGGGGTGTGCCGTGTGCTCCATGCTTGCAGCATGATCTAAAACCAGCTTATTTCTTTAGAGTTGTTGCTATTTTGATCCTGAGGGCTCTTCTCTCAAAGCGTAGGAGTTTTTCATAATCTGCTTCTCCTTGAATATTATTAAACATAGACTTCTCCAAGTTTGGGAAATGCCACGTAAATGGTATCAAGTTCAAGATCACACTGATGTTTCAGGCTGATTCATCTTACCATGAGTCAGAGAACACTCTCTGATCAGTTCTAAGTAAAGTAAGAAAAGTGGAAAAAATGGTTAGGTGTATCGGGCGTCACATCTCCTTCTGCTGCCCATCTTGGTTCTGCTTTTCCAAGGCCACAAAAACATGGCACTGTAACGAGACTTGGAACAAACTGCTGGAATCCCACTGCAAGATGACTTTTCTCCTTGCTTTGTACGTTTGCCAGGGAAGAATCACAACCCAAATGTGTGAACGGCCCTAAGTGAAGAGCATCTACAGTGCCCAGTTCCTGCTTCCCCATATCAATGCTGAAAAGACCACTGCTAACTTCCTCTTGCATTGTTTTTTTTAATGAAACGAATCCTAATACCTCTTAAAATTGCAGGGTTTCTTGGGTTTTGTTGTCATTTCTTAACTTTCAAATCTGATGTCCCTGACCAAAGTAGAAGTTCCATACAATGGAAGTAAGAGAGGGCACCTAAACTGGTTTCTTCTGCTGCTGAATGATTTCTAGCTATGTGCTACACTTTAGTATTCGTGCCTGGGTGGAGAATTAGGACGCACTAACTCACTGGATTTTGTTTCCCTTCTCAGGAGACGTTCACTCTGTGGATTTACTCTTCAACCTGGACCGTGTTACTGCTCTAGAGCACTTGCTCAAGTCTGTCTTGCTCTATTCCTTTGACACGTCCGCTCCCATTTCTTCTCCCATTGCATGCACGTGCCATTTATCTGTGAAGGAGCAGGATTTTTCTGGCCAAGCATGTCCCAGTGTTTCACACGCTCTAGCTTTTAGCCTGCACGTTGAAGTTAGAAAACGCAAGTGGGTTGAGATTGATGTGACTTCTTTTCTCCAGCCTCTAATTGCTACTAAGAGGAGGAACATTCATATGGCTGTGAACTTCACTTGTCTGATGGGTGACCCACAACAGTACACTAAACTGGAGAACCCCATGAACATGGCACTGGTTCCCCCTTCTCTTCTTCTCTATCTCAATGATACCAGTGAGCAAGCTTATCACAGGTGGAACTCACTCGGACACAGAAGGAAAAACCCAGCGCGGCCCAGGCAAAGGAATACTCTGCTTGTTGATCCTATGGGTGACAAAAAAAAAGGGAATTCACAGGGTAAAAGGGCCTCTCGACAGCGAAGAGACGAGAATCCGAAAGGAGCACCAGCCACTCCACCTTACAATCTGAGCGAGTATTTCAAACAATTTCTGTTCCCTCAGAACGAGTGTGAGCTCCACAACTTCCGACTGAGCTTTAGCCAACTCAAATGGGACAAGTGGATAATAGCACCACACAGGTACAGCCCCCAGTACTGCCAAGGCGACTGCCCACGGGTGGTGGGGCACCGCTACGGCTCTCCCGTGCACACCATGGTGCAGAACATCATATACGAGACGCTGGACCCCTCTGTCCCGAAGCCCTCCTGTGTCCCGGCCGAGTACAGCCCGCTCAGCGTGCTGACCATCGAGCCCGACGGCTCCATCGTCTACAAGGAGTACGAGGACATGATTGCCACCAAGTGCACGTGTCGGTAGGGGCGAGCCCTGCTCGGTTTGACTCCGGGTTTGGGTGGGTTTGCGTTCTCAGAGTATCTGTAGCTATGACCACCGAGTATCGTTTGTGTCATTCTCATAGCTCCATGAAACCAGTTAGGATTTAGCACTGAGTTAGTAGAAGGGATTTACATCACAGCACCTATTTTTGTAGCCACTCAGCCTTTCTAGAACATGAAATTAAATGTAAATATATTTTTATTGGAATAATTTTGCATTTAAAGTGTGGAAAAGGGTTTAACTACCAGATGTCTATTTTAAGCTGTTTTGTTACAGATTAAAAAAAAAAGAAATAAATGCCTATCATGCACACACTTACATTCAGTGCCTGCTGGTCTTCCTCTACATAAAGAAATCTTTTGCATGGCGTCTCCAGCAAGCATCTAGGAAGAGACGAAAGTCTTTAATGTCAAAATTACTTTCCCAGATTTC